AACCATGATGGTTACCCAATTAGTCAATTACCGGTAGTTTCCCAATTCGTTAACCCAACCTCACTCCGGACGCCGCGCCGTCCGCTGCCATGATGCACTGGCACTCGGACGCCGTGTACTACCTCCAGTACTCGAGCAACGGCCAGCTCCTGCTCTGCATTGCTCGTGTCCTGACACTTGGAGTCGGGTCGTCGCGCCTACCTTCGTGGACCCGTCACCAAAGCGCTCGTGCTGAACGCCCTTTATGGTAATGATGGCCTTGTCTGGACACGGAGGGCACGGCCGGTCTCGAGGCCTCGCAGCAGTATGACGCGCATCTTCTCGCTGGCCACGCTGCTCGGCAGCCTGCTGTGTGCTCCAAGCCCATCTACAACAGCCAGGGCAGCGTGGACGAGAAGACCATCAACGGCCCCAGCTTCATCGTCAACCTGGCCACACACATCAAGGCCAGCGCGTCGAGGACAAGGACATCATGCAGTTCCACAACTTCTTTTCATCCTTCCTTTGGGCCATGAGGGATTTCGTGAACGAGGATGGAGACCCCATCTCCAGCAACGACCTACGTCGAGAGAGCGCTGGCCGACCAGTCACGCGTCCCCGCCAACTTGAAGCACAACGGCATTGGCGCAGGACTTCTTCTGGGACCGCGACTGCATAACGCTCGTGCGTCCCGTGCACGATAGCCACGCTGTCGCTTGCAGGAGATGACGTCCGCCACTGCGAGTTCTGCAGGCAGGCAACTGATGCGTGCGTGCTGATGCACTGCCACGCGTGTCGACGGGCGTATCATGCCAAGTGCTTCTGGCCTGCATTTAAGTAGTGCGTAGTTGGGAACGTCACGCTCAGAATCGGCACGTTCAACGTGCCGATTCTGGACCACTGGAGCAGCTCAGGGCACCTAAGCGTCGTGGCAACATTTTCCGGTGTGGTGTGCGTCGTGTAGGGCTGTGTTTGTGGATCTTTGGAGTACGACGTGCGCGCAACCGGAGAAAGTGATTTACTATCGCCAGCGGAAGCTGGTGGAATGAGAGAAGCAGCGCAAGAAAGACCAGAAAGAAGAGCAGCGCTGCGGAGCCACCGACTTCGACGCCAAGCCGCTCGAACTCGAAGTACGCAGTCGACGTGTACGAGGAGGCAGCGCAGCGCTTGCTGATGAAGTGGCTCACGCGCGGATAACACAGCCTCCGATGTCGCGGGTGTGGGTCTTGATATGGCGAAGGGAAATGATAGGCCCTGCGAATGCGGTTGATGGTGATGGATGTGGACGGCGGCGTTGACACTCTCAGCAGGTGGACAGGAAACGGAGCAAAAGGGCAGCAAGATAGCAGAGCGACAACAGGAGTCGCATTCAGCACAAGCTGCCACGCTTCTGCGGCATCAAGAGACCAAGAACCAGCCAGAGCTGCAGCGGCCAGCAAAAACCGTTCTGTCAAGAAGGAACAAGCAGAACCTCAGGTAAACCAGAAACCGAAATGGGTCGAAGGTATGCGGTGTTACCAGTGTTTTTTCGTGCACATGTACGAGGGCACGCGTGATACCAAGGGCGTGACCGATACGGTGCTACCGGTGTGGCAGTGGACGAACGCTGGACCAGCGGCTGGTCGGAGTGCTTGGGTACTGCAGCGTTCAACAACAACAGCTCGACCAGTCCTCTGTGCACACCGAGTCCACCCCCTTGGCTAAAGCCACACGGCCACCAGTGTTGACGGTGAATGGCCGAATGAACAGGAATGCCTTTTTCACATCGTCAGACACCTCCCTGAAAATCAGGCGCGAGAGGAAGTCACGCGCAGGAGCACTAAGAGATTCGCTTCGCTTCAAGCGAAGGAAGGCGCTAGCAAAAATGTCAATTATGGGCATGTGTTGATTGATTACCCGTGGGATAAATGCGTTTGTCCCAAGAAAAACCCACACCATAAATTACCGTTTACATTACTTGCATACGCAGGTTGCGCGAATGGAGGACGCATTCACATGGGGTGATTCATAACGGCAAGATGTACTGTATTGTGGTAATAGAGAACTGTAGTTTCTGGAGTTGGAGCTACATAAAATCCGGATTATATAGAATAATCCGGAAATATATTACGGATAAAATACGGATACTCGGTACCCCTGTAACTCCTTGAGTCTGCGGCCCCTTCTCCATTTTCGCGCTGGCTGGTTATGGGCGTGGGCGCGCCGGACGTCGCGCGCACAGCCCCCGCCCGCTCGGCAACATGCTCGGCAGTGCGGCCAACACCGCGTCCGCCTCGGCCCCGCTCGACTCGCGCAACGCAGCGGCCATGGCGCTCCTAGGACCGCCCGACCTGGCCGTGCCAGCAAGCGCGAGGCCGAGTCGGCGTCGTGACGCTACCGGCCACGCACCGACAGCAGGCCGGCCCCGAGGCGGCCAACGCGCCGCCCGAGTTCTGCTCCAACGTGGTGATCACGTCCAAGTACACGACGTGGAACTTCCTGCCGCTCTTCATGCTCAGAGCTTCCGCAAGCTGGCCAACGCTTACTCCCTGCTCGTGTCCATCCTGCAGTGCGTCCGCAGCATCAGTATCACCAACAACCTGCCCTCCAACCTGCCCGTGCTCGTGTTCATTCTGGATGTGGATGGCGTGCTGGCCATCATCGAGGACCGCCGGCGCCATCTGCCCGACAAGGAGGCCAACTCGGCCCAGTGCCACGTGCTCAAGGAGACGTTCACCGGCACCAGCGACGCGCTCAACCACGCGCCGGCGGCGTGGACGACCCGGACATCGCGCTCATGCACTGGGCCGCGCTCACGGTCGGCTCCGTGGTCAAGCTCCACAACCGAGAGACGGCCGCCGCCGACTGCTCATCCTGGCCGTGGCCGAGCCCAACCCCAGCGAGCCGGCCGGCATCCGCTATGTGGAGACCAAGAGACTGGATAGCAAGCCCAATCTCAAGCTGCGCCACGCCTGCGCCGCCACGCCCCGTGCGCGCATTGCGGCGCAGGTGGCGGCGCTCGGCGGCCAGCTCCGCTGTGAAAACCCCAACAAGGCTATCGGCCGCTTCGACGGTACGTTGTCCGTCACGGAAGGCTCAAAAGCTGCCGACTTACACCCGCAGCCGATCGCTACCAAGAACGTCCTGCTTCGAGGCTGCCACTGCACAACATGGACTGGATCTACGGATTGGTGGTGAATACGGGCTTGGACACGAAGATCATGCAGAGCGCCACGGCCACGTGGCCCAAGTGGAGCTCCATCATCGAGACAGTGAACAAGATTAATCTGGCTGTTCCTGCTGCTGTGCTTCCTGTGCATCATCGCTACGACCGTGCACGCGACCTGGATCAACTGCAACATCGAGGAGAGCTGGTACCCTGAGCTGGACGCCCAGCATGACGAGCCAGTGGTTCATCGGTTTCGGCTACTCTTTCCTGCTGATGTA